AACCTCTCCGATCTTAACTTGAACCAACGGATGTTCTTCGAGAGCGTAATATGTGGAGAACCGATTTTTTTTCCCTAATTAAAACACGAAGGCCTCGAGCTTGCATAAAAGATATTAATAAAAATTATTGTTTATTATTCTCCTGCGTATACTGTTCAAATATATTTCATAATTTAAGAATTTCAATAATAAGATATGAATTTATTATGTTTCACGATATTTTACGTGTTCCTAAAGAAATATCAGCGAAGAAAGTTTCGTCTCTTTTAAAATTTGCTCCTCAAATTCGCGTCTTCTTCGAGTAGGTACCCGAGTTCACTTTTATGCTTTCATTTTCCTTTTCAATTTCCGGTTGCGTACAAAGTGTTACTTACTCTAAAAGCGCGTCGCCCACGCTTTCCATGCCATCGCTCTGATTGTATATCCCGGAGTTAAGACCCTCGCCCGCAATTTTTGCACGGCCTCTTCCGCGAGACAAGCTGTGTTTAGCCACGCTCCGCGGAGTCAGACGTAATTTCGTCGTCTCGTCGTAAAGAGCGGGGAACTCCGGGTTGGCGGTTGTCATTACCGTGTACGCCGCCGCGGAGAACGAGATTTCTGTTTTCGCGCGACGAGTGCTCGTCGTGCTTGAGATTACGACGAAAAGCGTCATATCTCGTGTTACTGTTCGTATAAAGTACGCGTAAGTGCTTGTTCGAAAAGCCGCATAATTCAACATCTGGAAGCGCCAGTCAGTACAGGAACTTGCAGTAAACAATTGAATCGAATATTATCACCTCGTTCCACCTTTCCGTTTTCGATCGATCGTGCTAACAAGCGCTCGGCGTTATTAATTCACCACGATAATAATTCGATATTCACTCAAATGTTCAAATAATGTTAAAACATTTTATCAGTATATTTGTTGTAATTATAATTCTCTTTTTGTATTAAATTGAAAATTACTTTTCGCAAAATTACACATAAAAAAATTACTTCAAAATGTCTGCGCTTGCTCCGAGCGAGATATTCAAGCGAGAAATATCATAACGGTATAAGATTTCTGGAAAACGATCAGTCTCACGGGGACCGCACAAAGGGTGTATCCGAGCGCTAGCAGAAAGAAAATGGGAGACGAGAACCCGTCCTCGATAGAAAAGACTAAGCTCCTTTGGCGTACACGATGAGATGTCTGCGTACAGCGCGACGCTCTCCGGATGTGCCGGAGAATGCGAGACGCATGAAAAGAGGTACGCGATTGAATCGAATGAACGCACAAAGAGGGAGAAAAAGAGTAGCGATCCACTCCGGACTGAAATTAAATGGGCGGAACTGAAAGTGATGCACGAGCGTCGCACTGCGTACACGCTGTACACGCTCCCGACCCTGGATGCAAAGATGCTTTTTTTCTTTCCGCCGGGGCTTCTGCGTGACGAGAAACGATCGACCCTTTGGCGCAGCGTAAAATCAATCTTTCTTTAAAACTTTCCCTCGTAGGTATGTGCTGTTACTGCTAGAATTCTTCTGCGAACGCACCTTCACCGCATCGGTGTGACGGTCTCTTTCATGTATCTAAGCAATTACACGCGCGTTTCGATTTAAAAAAAAAAGAACGAAGAGATTGAAGAAGGAAGGAAGAAGACGCGAGAAGTTCTTCGTGGAAAATCTAAAATCTCCGAAGTACAGCGAATAATTTTAAAGCCAACTTTATATGGCATCTTTCAGGAAAGAAAAAAAATAGATGAAATCGCGCAATAAAAAAGTATCGTCATTGAAAGAATTACACGGCCGTATACGCTGCGTAAAACGCGTGAAGGTCGATGCCTGTAATCTCATCAGCTTAATTTTCTTAACGTAATCAGTCTCACCCGCGGAGCGCCGCCGACGCATTTCGCGAAACCTGGGATATTATCAGCGGCAGAATCGCATTTCCCGCTGCATTCGAATGTACACATTCAATTAGCGGAACTCTAACGTTCCACTTATCTACGTCAGCGATACCTCAATGATTTACAACTGACGATATTTCGCTTATTTTGAATAACGCGAAATTCGCGAAAAGAAGATTCAAATCAAGAGAACTGTCACGTTGCATTTTCGATCGTCAAATATTTTATCACGTTAAACGACACACGGAACGAAGAACTCCCGCGAAACAAGCTATCGTTCTGTGCGAGCTGAGGTGCTTCCTGGGTCTCGCGCATCGAAGCTTAAAAATTGCAGCAAACTACAGTGTGAGTCTCGTTACGACAGAACGGTTTCGCACAAGGGGGTACGCAAAAGCGACCTTCGGCTCTAATAAGATTTTATTGCGTGCTAGCCGCGAAAGAAATTGCGACCGGGCAATCAGTCCGAGTTCCGAGCTTTGCGACCCGAATAAATCGCGCAGAAACGAATGGGGAAACCACCTTGAAGCTAAAGTAAGAACTTATGTACGTATGCGAGAAGATTGATGGAAAGGAGAACTTAATCAAACCGGAACCGCATTTCTTTGCGTCGTTCACATTATGTTTATTATGTTTATTCATTGCTAAAAAATATTTATTATTACTAAAATTTCCATTTATTTTATAAAAATGAGAAATCTGTTTTTTTACCTACACTCTAAATTTTCTGAAAAGTCACATTATGTTTATTCATTGCTAAAAAATATTTATTATTACTAAAATTTCCATTTATTTTATAAAAGTGAGAAATCTGTTTTTTTACCTACACTCTAAATTTTCTGAAAAGTCACATTATGTTTATTCATTGCTAAAAAATATTTATTATTACTAAAATTTTCATTTATTTTATAAAAGTAAAAAATCTGTTTTTTTATCTATACTCTCTAAATTTTCTGGAGTGACTTTTCACTCCAGAAAATTTAGAGAGTAAGTATATTATATATTCATATATAATATTGAAATAATTTTAATAATTTGAATAAGCATATATGTATCTCTCTTTGCTCTCATTATTTTTTCATTATACGACAAAATAAGATTCTTTTAAATGGAAACAGAACAATTCCGCTTTAGAGCTCGTATACGAAATATTAGATTGCTCCGCGTCTAGCCGAAGACATGTACGCGAAGAGACTGGCTGCCCTGCAATTTTTATTACCGTTGCACCGCCGGAGTTTCCTACCTGCAGCAGCAACTGTCACATACGGGCGTTGCAGCAACAATTTTCTTAGAAGTTCATGTCTCCCGTCGAGATACGACTAAGCGCGAGAGCTCTGAACTTCCGGAACTTCCTGAATTTTTGACGCTTCCGCGACTTGAAAAATTTCAGCCTCCGAATATCCGTCGATCGTAAAATAACCGTGTCTTGCACACGCATGCAACATGCTCATATATATATTATAAAAGTTGTTCGGCAGTGATCTAATATTTCCTGATAAGGAAATCCTTATCAGGATTTATTATTTCCTTATCAGAAAATATTAGATCACTGTCGAACAACTTTTATAATATATATATATATATATATATATATATATGAGCATGTCGAACAACTTTTATAATATATATATGAGCATGTTGCATGCGTGTGCAAGACACGGTTATCTCGCATCAAATTTCGCCCCCTCCCCCGTCTATCCCTCGGAGAATCTCAAGCCAACCATAACTTTCGACATCTTTATCGCCTCTCGCAATTCTCCCGCGATCCTATAAAGGAGCCCAAAAGTAAAAGGATTATCCCACTTGCTAAAGATTTCTTATCGGGGCGGATTCGAAGCGATTTTTCGATCTCTCCGACGGCAGCGGCGGCGGCGTTCGAACGCGGAAACTTTGTAGCATTCGCGACGCGCTTGCGATCGACCCACGCAATAATCTGATAGAGTCGCATTAGCCTGAATTCCGACAATCCAGTTAGCCTACCCTACTCCTCGCCCTGCCTGATCCAGCCTCGTCCTGAATTTGAAGCAATTGGCACGAACTGGCACGTTCGCCGACGATAAAATAGCATAGGCCGATAGGTTTCCTAAGACGGCGCTGTACGACAAAGTCGTAAAATGGTAAGGTGGTCCCGTAAATTCGTTATTACGATCAGCTAAATCATCTTATCGACGTATCAAGCAGTTAATATAATTGGCATATCACTTGCGTTATACAAGAATTACAGAGATTTAAGTGATTTATAAAATAAAGTTAGAATATGGGTATAAACAATCGTCAAAAATAGTGAAAATAAAGACAAGGTGAACGGCTGTCAATTATTCGCCAACAGTCCACATTCTAATGCTGATTATTATAGACGTAATTTAACCTAGTGACGCGTGTTTTTCGTAAAAAGTGGATCACTTTTGACAGAACATCTATAAAAAAAGAGCGTAATGACGTCGCGTGACACGACAATAATGACTGACGTTGTTGGAAAGCAACAGAGATCATTTCTCGAGAAGCATTTTAGCGGCAATTCTGCAGTTCGAAAAGGTATCATCGAAATTGCCGGGCGCGTTTATTGCCGTGCGGACGGTGGGATAATTGCACGCGACAAACGATCGCGAGACAACGCGGGGAAAAAACGAGTGAAATGAGTTTCGGTGCTCACGCGACAGTATTTACACAGAATAGCTTACTTTGTCTTCAGAAGCGTGTCGATGTATTTGCGATAACAATGAAGCAACAATGGGAAAGCATTCTTTTATTGTGGAATCAAAAGATTGAATTTCTAAAGTAAATATTGATAGAAAAACTATTATAAGAATTACATTAAAGCAAACAATAGACGTTTAATAGACGTAAAATAACAAAAAAATATGAACGCAAAGAAATTAAAAATCATATTAGAAATATTTTTAAATTAAAATTCACTTTAAATAAAAAATAATTCAAGGCGATTAATTCAGAATAGCTGAAAAATATAGCTTGGACTAATTTTCAATTTTATCTTAATTAATTCGAATTAATTGATTAATGATAGACTAAAATAACAATATATAATCGCAGACTTTTCTCTTATCTCAATTTGAGAAACACTTATCTACATAAAACTTCTTTTAACAAACGTATAACATTTGTATATCAACTCACCGAGCATCTTGATACCTTGGACCGGACTCAGAGGGTAGAAATCCCCGTGAAGCGGACAGTGAAAGCCCACCCTGCGCTCCCTCCGCCTCGCCCGTCTCGTGAGCATGCAGAGCAGTACGCCGAGCGCGAGCATAAGGGCGCCCACAACTATGCAGATCGGCCCCAAGATACGGGAATTGCCGGTAAAGGCAATTCGTGCGGCGTACGAGTTCTTGTCCTCGTCCTCGCCGGGGCCGCGATAAGAAGCAGCTGTAACGGAGAAACGAATCGAAAATTAATCGTGGAAGTTAAATAACGACCACTAAGTTGATGAATAAATCACAACTGTTCTCTTAATAATTTCTCGTATTTTTCAATCACCTATTTTCTTAGACGAAAGTCGTATTTTATAAAAAATATAAAAAAATAAAATAAATTCTCACACGTACGTTAATTTTATTAATTATATATATGTATATATAATATAATAAAATATAATGTATTTTTGTTCGTGCAATGTCGAATAAGCTATTAAAAGGTGATAACTCTTTAACTGCGAGAGCGATTAAATGACTCGAGTAGTTCAAATACGATCTTGTTCGTGCTCGACTTTCGCGGAAGTGCTGAATACGGATTTGAATCAAGACTTTATGTTCGATTCGCGTGTTTCCTGTACAAAACCGTAAAGCCGCTTCGCACTTCGCGAAGCTCCGTAATCGCATTGGTTCGAGAAGGTTCGAATTGGTCCGAGCTCTCCGGCATTGACTGCGACGCGAATGAGAAAACTTTTCTAGCGAGAAGTTTTATGTGTACTTAAAAATGGAAAACTTTACGTATAAGTCATAATAACGCTCGTCCTATCCTCGCCAATTGCGAAGCGAGAATGTCACGGCGTATTTGGAGAGAAAATGTGCGTCTGCAAAGTAGCGGAAATCATGGACATAAATACGCTCGCCGCGGAAAGCCCGCCTTCGAGCATATTTTAATCAATAACGCTGGTGAAACGCTTCATAGACGGTTAGCATGCGCAGATCCGACGAATTTCTCTACGGATTTGTCTTATTTCGCAAATAAGATTAAGCGAATTATTAAAATGCAGTGACGCAAGTGAAATAAATAAATCAAATAATGCAGAGTTAAATACCTGTTTATCTATAATCTATTTTACCTTATTTCTACACCTGAGAATTTCAGAGAATGCAAGTTTTTAAATTATTTTGGCCTTAAATTATCATTTATTATAATATTTGAATAACATTTAATTTTAATAGTATTAATGCAATATTCAATTTTTGTAATGAAAATATTTGAAATTTTAAATATTTTTTAAATTATAACAATATCGATGAATTTCAAATACAATAAATATTTTAATATTAAATTTAATAAATATGTTATGAATGCTACACCTGTGGTATACGAAATTAATTAACTTCTTTTCTCAGTTTTTAGTATGTTGGTAACAAAAATTCTGATACAACACGTTTATACCACGAGACCGTAACGTTCCAAAATGTACAAATAAAAAAATTATATATAATATATAGAATATATATAATATATATAAAATAGTATTAAAAAATATAAAATTGTAAAAAATTGAAAATTTATGAATATCAAATAAATTATAAACTTACAAGTACTAAGAAAATGTAAGTAGTAAATAAACTGATGTGCCACATTTACAAAATTCAGTATTTTATATTTAAAATCATGTACCTCTCCTAATCCCGTTTAACTCGTATAGTAAAAAGCAATCCTCGTTCCACTTGACTCTATCTATCCAAAGGGGACATGACTTGTCAGTGTGATAAACGTAACAAAGACATTAACGCAATACGAGCAAATCGGTAAAGGACAGAGCGATATCTGCACTGCTCGAGGGGAAGAGAGAAAAATAGAGACAACGAAAGGGAAATGGGCTATTGGACCGGTCTTGCCGCGATAGGGAAAAAAGGAAGCTGAAAGAGGAGGACAGACCGGTTCTGATAAATCGGTTGGTAACAACTCTCGGCACCTCGTACGTGAAGAAAACGCGACCGAGGAGCGAACGGCGACGGCGGGATATGTGACGGGCCAGCTGTTGCTTGGCGAACAGTCCGGGGCCCTCTTCCACTTTTCTCACTCTTTTTCTTCCTCTTCTTCCTCGCGATACGAAAGCTGTATCTATCTCCGGGGTCAGCGTCCCCGAACGAACGAACTATGGCGCAAAATTAATTCAACGGGAAAGAATGAGTGGGAAACTAGTCTCTCACTTTCGGCAAAAAGTCTCGAAAGTCTTCCACGTACTAAGTATATTAATATTGATTAATATTAAAAATTCACTTTTCAAATTCCGGTCGTCTAACAATGAGATCAATCGGCAAACTCACGCCCCTTTGAATAATATTCTCGGATATTTTATTTAATAAGATTAAGCTGAAATAATAAAATTCTATTCAAGAGGACCGATATAAAAATTTAAAATTTTTATTACTTGATTAACATATCAAAATACTTATGTTTATAAAGAACAGAATTTCATCGCCGAGGAAGTTGTACTGCTACTAACGTTAACAGTGGCATAAATATTCACGAGAGTAATAAAATCAGAGCAAATTCAGCTGCATCGTAATTTATTAGAAATTTACGACTTAAATCGCCGAATTTCGTAGCTTGCACGACTTTACTATACTGCTATATGCTTTAGCTTTACTGAATATGGCTTCCTTCTCTATGTAATTAATCCGCTTATAGGATGTCAGTGAAGGCTTCAGTCTGATTAGTATGTTACGACGAATAACTGACTTGAGAGAGATATCTCGACGTTACATCTACTGTCGACAACATGTTGACAGTGTGCGCATATCATTGTTGAAAATATATCTCTCTCTTCTATATAATTTCAGTTTTAATATTATTCATTATTATAAATGAATAAAAGATTTTCAGAGTTCCAAACGAAAAGATCTCTACTTCCGATTGTGAAATTATTTAATTTCAAAAATATTCTTCTAATAAACAAAATAAAATTAATGTAAAAATTTATTTTCTTCATATAAAAAAAATCACAGGTATATAATTTATCCTACTAAAGCCATAAAGATAGAATCTTTTTTATGTAAATATTGAAAGTGAAAAAATATACATATAATTAATAGTTTTTGATTGATTCCTCATTTAGACTGTCGGCGAGCAGGAAAGGCATACTCGAGTATTACAAAACGAATAACAAATACGGCCATTAATTAATGCTAAAAAAAAATCAGAAGACACACTTTCTCGTTAAGCGATAATGAACGATTATGGTATCTCATAACGAAATAAATACTGATTCTCCTTTCTAAGCGACCCACATGCGATTACGGAGTCTACTGTGCTTTCTCCGAAATGGAAAGCCTGAGATTATTCTCATCCGCTAAATTACGCCGTGACGCATGCTCCATATCTCTATTATAGATACAACCAACGCTCGGACAAATGAAAGATAAGCTAGAAGTAAAAGTCCAAAGATGATAGATCGCGCCGCCGTGCGCGCAGCGCCGGGCCGAGTGACACTGCGAAAAATTATATATTATCGAAGTCATAAATTTAGATAAAACTCGAAACGAGATATTTCTTCATCGAGGATATGTTCATTCTATACAGCCGAAGCTGTATAATCAATTCTCAGCCAAGCCCGTCGGAATTACGCCGCCGCCGTCGCGAATTTTGCAGGTCGATCATGAGATGCAAATGCGAATGCAAACGACGCGTTACGAGATAACGAGGAGAAAAAAGGGAGAAAAATTAAGGGATCGGTGAATATTCAAGAGACCCGCTCGCGGTGCACCTATTGTCCGGCGCACTGTGTCCTTTTGCAATATCGCAATTTATACGAGCGCATCTCTAATTATAACCGCTAAATTATGCGACGCAGTTAAAAACTTACAGCGGAAAATCGTGGCAAAAATATTCGAGAGAGAAATAAATCGTACTTATCATTTGTTTGTAACGTATATCCTGTCGGATTTGTGACATTTATCCTGCATTTTTAATGCGTACGTCTATTTTATATCAAAGTTTATTTACCTCGTAAAACGAGTGTACCTCCAAGCGTCAGATTAAAGTTATATTTTTGCGTTGAATGTATACAACGAGAATACGATCTGCGATTTTAGAGAAAAAAAAAACCGGTGTAGAAACATGATCTACAAAAGCTTGCGATGTGTTATGTAAAGAAGCGTAACGATATCGGAGGCGTTGCTCTCTTTGATACAGAATACATCTTTAAAAAAAAAAAAAAAAAAACAATGTTCGTGATACTCCACAGAAGCACTCGGTAATATCAGGGATATCAAGGTCGCAATAAATCCAACCTTCTTTTTATGTATGTACATACACTTTCAGTTTATATTTGTGTAACGCAATATTACTCTAAAGAAGACAGACGTAATTTTAAATAAACAAAGTGGGAAGACGTGTGTGTGAATACGAACCGGTGAGTACGGCGCCGACGAGCATGAAGAGAGTGCCAAACGCCGGAAGGGCGATCTGGCAGTTCGCCGCTATTACCACGCCGGCCACCATCAGGCCGCCCTCGATCTTCTCCACCCTCAACCGCGATATGGGCGTCGGGCATTTCAATTTCGCGCCCAGGCCACCACCCAGCATTCCCTCTTCAGCTGCCATGCTGCCGGTCCTGCAACAACGAGCGAAACTAATTACAACAGCTGTAATAAATAAAGACTTTCCCTTCCTCTATGCGTAAATTGCGCGGATGAGTGATCACCCACTAAACGGGGTGGGACACTCTTCATGAAATTTGAAGCGGAAACATATTCGTGTATGCCAATTACATAATTACAGAGCTAGTGATAACGACATTAGTAATATAATCTTACGAGGAATGATTTATAATACAATCCGATCCATTGCGCGACATTTCGACAATTATTTGCAAATCGAGCAAAGGATAGAAGACACAAATAAAAAAAATAAAAAATTGAACTCTCAGCAGAAATTTGAATACGGGAAAGGAAACTATCGCTTGCAAAGTAAGAAGCATTAAATCACTGAGCATATCATATGTTATCACTGTACTGGGTAAAAAATTCATTTTTTTTTTCTAAAAAAAAATCATTCAGATATTTTTCCTATAATTATATTCAATCTTAGTTTGTAGAGATCCGTGTAAAAAAAAATTAAAAAAATCGGGCTCAGCCGGGATTTGAACCCGGGACCTCTCGCACCCAAAGCGAGAATCATACCCCTAGACCACTGAGCCGTTCGATGGTTCATTCATAATAAACTCTTAAGTCTATACCGAAATTATTAATTTCCATTAATGTAACAATTAAAATACACTTAATATGTACAATTTTAATTAAAAATTATATTTATTAAGATCTAAGACAAGAGCAATGCTGCAAATAAAAAATATAATTTTTATAAATCATTTAAATTAATTTTTAATTTTTTTAATGCATTATAGATCTCTATACTTATATAAGAGATTATCACTTAAAATCTTTTCATCATTTAAAATATTCTAAATAAAAATGTAAAGTAAACTCCGTTTTTAGATATGACTTTAAATATGACAGAAAGTAGATTTCACATGATAGATCTCGCGCGCTCTGTATCGCTCTCCTCCGATCAAACTTAGACATCTTATTCACGCTTCGAAACTCCACAAGGAAGAGAATAGCTTCCTCATAGACACGTCCGACCTTTTCAACTATGATGAACGATTAGAGCGTAAAATTGCATGAAGGTTCCTTCCCGGCAAATTGTAGCGTTTACACGACGGAGTTTAATTGAATCAATCAGCCACCATCGTGTGCAGCTGGTAATTCGACGTGGAAGCCGAGACTCGATAGCGTATCTCCGAGCGCAGGGGCGCGGTAATTAACGCCGAATATACCCTTTTGCGGCGGATCGCTGGGGATCTGACAAATGGCACAGGTTCCGCCCGAGTGATGAAACGGCCAATTCTACCCGCGGGGCATCCGCGTGCCGTGACGCCGGTATTAATAATCAATCCTTAATTCATCGGACCCGCCTTTTCCATATTGACGTAACGTATCGCCCGTTAACAGGCAAAATTTGCGAAACAAATTCCGGAGAACGAGAAACAAGTTTATTCTTCATTTAAGATTCAATATGCCGGAAAAATTACAGAGAAACCACAATCGACCGAGCGAGGGATTAATTGAAGGTACGTGTGTTGGATGAACACGAGAACGGAATTCGTTTCGAGTGCGACAAAACACACGTGGCATTTATAACATGGTCAATCGGCGCGGCGGTACAACGCCGTCTTTATTATGCAACGGCGACGGGTGTGTTCGTTAAGTACACACACGTGAAAGCGCCCCGTCAAGCAGCCTGTAATCCCAACAGTATTTTCGAATAACTTTCAACGATAAACAACGCAAAGCGATGTACATCGGCGATAGTTCGTCACTCTCAAGATAATCTCCCACGGTAATAATAGAGCTGTGCCATTCGCGGCGAACGGTATGAAAAACGTGAAATTTTAATGACGGACTGTTGTGACAGCAAACAAGAGCGACGTGTGATGCAATGCGTTTGATGTGTGACGTAAAATTCCATTTCTAAAAATACATTTTCTCGCATGCATGTGCACTTTCTATCCACACGTGTTGCATTCTTTCAAAACTATATATCCAATTAGCAAGAAGCGAGAGTGTCCTCGAGAGAGAGAGAAAGAGAGAGAGAAAGAGAAAGATGGTACTCATCTCTTTCTCTTCTTCTGATTGAATTTTTCATTCAGAGCAATTTTCCTAATTTATCTTCGTACAAAACGCATCGCTTCGCGAAATCTCTTTCTGCTCTAGTATTTACGATTACATAAAATCGTAGATTAATCGGCGTTAATTCCAGACTGATGGAATTAACGCCCAATTAATCCGAATCATTTCGCTTTCGAGTTACAAAGAAACGTGCGCCGCGAATTAACCGTCGGACGGATAAACTCACACAATTGAATTTTCCTGAAAACCAGCCAGAAAACAGCGCGGCAAAAAACGAACAGTCTCAATAATCTCCCTATGCGTACTGACATCAATTCTACGATAAATTGTATAACGCCAAACAATTCGATGTTTGCACAGCGTACGCTTCGACCGCTAGAAAATCACTGGCCAGTCCGGCGATTTTGCCGGACTTTTTTTCTCCAGTAACCCCGCGATGCGATAACAGCTGATGAGATGGCGAATTTATCATTTTTATTTTCGTTACGTACGAGAGAGTGTACGCAAGCAGCGTAAATTATATGTGTATCGGGCGATAGTTCGTCAAACATTAACTGCCTAAATTACTGCCTGCTGCAGTACGTTGCGTTCCTAAATTTACAACGTAAAAACACGCAATAACAGCGTAAAAAAAAACCGTCATAATGCAAATGGCTTATTTATGTGCTGTTGTTTTACGCTGTTATTTGTCGCGATAGCGAAAGCACGAACGTGTTGATTTCATTTACGATATGTCTCTGACAGGATGAAGTAGAATCATGATTACCTAGATATTAATGGAACGTTTTACGAGCAAATTTCAGATAAAAAATTCATGTTCGTAAAAATTTTTACTAACGACGTGAAGTAATTTTCCAGAGGAGCAGTAGCACTCTCTCCGCGCCATTCGGCGTGTTTCCATCCACTTTCCGAGCAACATCGTGACTCGTGTTGATAACACTTCTACTTCGGTCGATCAAAGTTTATGAGAACTACGCGAGAAGATGCACGGCGCCGATATTATCATGTAAAATTCAAGTTTCATCTTCGAAAAATAGCTCAGAATAGCACTTTTTTAGATATTAAATTATATTATGTACGACATATTTTTTTAGTGCTAAAATTATGACAATTTTGATTTTATGCATATTCATTAAGCTTTTTTTACGTAAATTTAAAAAAATTATTTCAGCATGAATTTAATTTAGCTCTAATTGAGTTGTAAAAGCAAGAATATCTAAACTTTTAACATTTATTATAAATTAATGTTAAAAACGCCTTATATATTTCTTTGCCAAATCCATTTTTACTTCAAATACAATGTCAAAAACATGCCAGATATTTAGACACGTTATTTTTAATTATCAGTCATAATCGTAATTCCTAATATTTTAGTCTATAAAGCTATGAAAATTTGGCATGTACATGAGTCATCTGAAGTCGTGTGAGTCATGTGAATAAAAATGACCGGTAGAAGTTATCTACTGTGACGCGCAGGACGCGCTTAATTCACCTATTTATTGTAGGGGTTCGACGCTCTATCTCGCACGCAACGCACGTATACGATCACCGGCAATGGTTTAGCAATGGATGGCATAGAGAAGCGTGTAACGATCAACATGACCTTATTCCAAAGATGTCGGAGAGATAACCCGTGTAGCCAGGCGAGTCTTGACTCGCCTCGCCCTCTGCCCCATTTACTCGGATGTTTCAGGTCATCGAGATCGAGCAGGGGGGAGGGAGAAAGAGTAACGGAGGAAGGGATAACAATTGAAGCAACAAGAACGAGTGCCACTTATTCTCGCTCGACTGATTATAAATAGGTGCCCACCATGCCTCGTAGCTTCATGCCACGTTCAAAATTGTAAAATCGATGTTTGGAGAATCGCAAATTAGACGCCCGTTTCAGTGGGAAACATTAGAATCGTGTACGGACATACGTGATAACGATTACCTTAATTTCGTCACAATTATTAATAATAACAGATAATAGTAATATTAAAATAACTGATGTGCTCAGATTGAACACTGTTTGCGAAAACGTGGCTTTAATCCATAAAAAATCGCGATTTCAAATTTATTCCAAAAATTTTGCGTCAATAAATTGTTTAAACTTTAAAAAAACATAATTGAAAAAATACATTTTATCTGTTAGAATTGTATTATATTTTTTTTTATAACAATTTCTATGAATACGGTGTGTCATCATGATATAATCTCAGTTTAGCCACGGTCGGCTTGACGATTATAATATATCAAATGTGACAATAATCAATCCATGAGCATCAGACAAAGTGAAACGTAACACGAATATATATCACAATTCTTACGTAAAATATACTACGATACATTTTAATGATGATGAATCACAGATTTACTCATATTTTCACGCGAGCTAAACTCGGCGTTACTTACGAAAGACGGTAACGACATGTGCACACATTCGCATGCATGCCTTAACTTATCACGGATATACGAACATGCTTTATGCAACTGTCATAATTTCATTCCGGCGATGCCACCGGCCATGATCGTTTCCACGAATTCCTCGTGCGAAAACAAAAGCTAAATATTCGTCCCAATTAATTTTTACCGGATACGTATTTTATACACTACAGCGAGAGAGATAATGACGTAACGATACCGATGCAATGATATATTACATTAATCAACACGTGATGCATGATCTAATACGAAATAAAAAATACACATCCGGTTAAGAACATCGCGTAATTACTCTATAAGTTGGAGATTATATCGCGTATTAAATTCGGAGGGGGAACGCCATCGAACTTCCTCCAGGTTATACAAGTTGTTCCAATATTGCTAGACTCTCCATCAACGTTAACAGACTTTGATAAATCTTGAGAATATTCCCCGATAAAATATGACAAATACCATGGTTTATGAGTACCATACTTTTATTAATTTGCAATGTAGATCC